CAGAGCGAGGGAAAGGGAAGCTCCCCTTCCACTGCCAGCACTCTTTCTCCTCGTTTCTAAGCCACTTCCAACACCACCTTCCCCAGGACACAACGGCAACGGTCCCCGGTGGCTCAGGAAGCCTCTGCTGCCCACGCTCGGGAGGGACGTACCGAGAGGGAGGGCCGCAGCCCAAACCCCCAGCCCCAGCTAGCACGTCTGGCGCTCCCTGTCCTCCGAGAGGAGCTCGGCCGTCGCCTCCCGGCCAAGGTACCCCGCTCCGGCGGGGGCCAGCTCCTGGAAGCTCGTAGCTCTGCTGCTGTTGGGAAGTTTGGGGTGGGTGGGGGTCAAGGACCCCTCCTCCCCCTCGTCCTCCTGGGCAGGCTCCGGGTGCTCACACTCCATCTCGACGTCCTCGATGTCCTTCTCCCGGTAGAGCGGCACAGACTCCATCTCCAGGCCGCTCTCGAGGGCTCTGTGCTTCCCTCCCTGCTGGTACCACTTGCAGGCGGCGGAGCCGTTGCAGGCCAGGTCAAGGCCCACGTTCCTCCTGGTCAGGCAAACCTCCAGCATGTAGTAGAAAGTCCAGAACACGGCAAAGCATCCCAACAGCAGGAGGGTCTGCGGAGGAGGAAACCCCTTAAGAAGCAAAGCCCTCAACCGCCCCAGAGCCCTGCCCCGTTGCCCAGCTGCGAGGGCACGGGGCCAGGAGGACCAGCCGGGCACGTTCCCCCTCCTCCAGCCCCTCCTGCAGAGGAGGGGGTCTCCCCGGCCTGCGGGCAGGCTCACCTTGAGGGTGTTGGCCGTGATTGTGTAGTGCTGCTCCTCGGGGATCTCCAGCCCCGGAGGACAGGGCAGGGAGAAGTTGCTGCTCAGGTACTGCCCGCTCATGGCTTCCTCCAGCAGCCTGGGGGACAGAGGCACCCCGTGAGGGTCTCGCCGACAGGGCTGCTCCAGGCAGGGTCCCAAAATGCCCACAGAGGGTCCGGACGTGCCTCTTCCACCACTGAGGGTTGCCCTCCTGGGTCGGACCCAGCCAACGGAGCCGTTTTCTACAGCCCACGGCTCCCCATGAAGGGTACTGAGGGCAGCC